GGCTCAGTGCAGAACAGCAATAACGCCCAGCACACTGGCTCAGTGCAAGGGCTCCTCCTTTCATTTTACCCTTCATAAATGGAAAAAAAATTTTAAATCATTACAAGTAATTTCCAATTCTTCTACTCCCACATTCTCTCAAGTGGATTCTAAGACTCCAAGCCTTGGCATGATGGTGATGAAATTCGCCAGATTTAAATTCAAGTCTTCACTGATGAGAAGTGTCATCTCTGTCTCAAATTCAGAGTAAAGTAGAGACGGGTAGTCACTAAAGTAGCACTTGCCTTAAAAGTAGCACTTATATGATCCGCTGTAAAATGATGACTGCTTTTGTGTTAAACTTCAATTCTGAAGTTTCAGACTTCAGGAAAAAATCCGAAAATGACAGTGTGATTTTCTCTAATTGTTAACCTAAAGGAATTAGATAAGCACAGTTTTACCTGTTTTTTTTTTCCCCTCGTGGTCAGAATATGATGTGGACTTTGAGGAACAGGACCACAGAGAGAGAAACGTCTTATTTTCACCCTACTGCATCAGAGTGCTCACCGTGATCATTACCTGTCATTCATACTTCTTTTTTATTTTCACATGATGCTTATCACTCACATTTTTATTACCCAGAACAGGCAGAGTCTACTACTTTCCAACACCATTGATTTAGATATTCTCCTCTGTCCTGCTTATTGTCAACTTGACACAAACTAGGGCATCTAAACAGAGGGAACCTTGTTTGAGATAATGCCCCCATTGCTCTGGCCTGTCATCTTGGCTGTGGAATCATCTTCTTGTGAAAATCATTTTCTTGATTTTCCATGGATATGGGATGGTCCAGAACAGTGTAAGCAGTGCCACGCCTGGGCAGGTTAGCCCTGAGTTGTATAAGAAGGTAGGCTGAGTTAGCCAAGAGCAAGCCAATAAGCAGCACTCCTCCATGGTCTCTGCTTCAGTTCCTGCTTGCAGTTACTGCCTTAGCTTCCCTCAGTGATGAACTATGATGTGGAAGTGGAAGCCAAAGTCTCCCTCTCCAAGATGCATTTGATGATGATGTATCACAGCAAGAGAAAGCAGACTAGAATATCCTCCTTTCTTTACCCTGCACCTTCATGAAATCAAGTCATGAAACACAACCCAAGACAAAGTTGGTGCTGCAATTCAGGAGGGGATTAAAGTCCACCTTCTGGAGAAAATTACTTTTGCTGTTGTTTGTTTCCCTTTGGTGCTGGAGATTGTACACGGGCCTTGTGATTACCAAACACTCCATCACTAAGGTACATTTCCAGCCCCCTATCCCAAATGTTTTAAAATAAATAAATAGATAAATAAATAAACAAACAACCAAACACTGTTTTTGAAATAGGGTCTCATGTACCCTATATTGTCCATAAACTTAATAGTTAGCCAAACAAGACTCTAACCTGAAAGCCACTAGTGCTGGCGTTACAGGCACGTGCACCACGCCCACTGTATGCCTTGCTGGGGGCTGGTCCCAGGGGTCTGTGCTGTAAGCACTCACAAATGAAGTAACATCCCAAACGCTAAAACCAAATCTTTTTCAGTATCAGAAATAGGCACTGTGCACTTCAAAGCACTTTGTTTGCCATGACCCCAAGTGTTCACTGATGTCTTTCCGCCAGGCACTTCACCAGGAGAAAAATGCAACTACTACTATATGTCAAAACATCAAATCCACTTGTAGGGATCAAAGTGTTCATAGCAATACTTGACCAAAACACTGAAAGCAGAAAAACAACTTCCACAGATAACAGATGTGGGGGAGGGGAGGGCAACAAGGGAGAAAAAGAACCCGAATGGAAGGAGGAAGTGGCAAAAGGCAGGTTTTAAAAGTTCTGTTTCAGACAAAACAAAAGTTTAGTCAAAAGACAGGAACATACAAGGACATAAACTAGCACTATTTCATTCCAGCTACCTAGCCCACTAGCCAATGTCTGATTCATTAAATATTTTCAGTAAGACATGGTGTGCTCCCAAAACTTACGTTGAAGTTTTAACCCCTACTCTCTGAACATAGCAGTATTTGGAATGAGGTTAGTAGACCCTTATAAAACCTGAGGTGCAGACAGGCACAAAAGAAAAACCTAGAAAAGATGCAGGCTACCATCTACTGGCCAGAGAAGGAAGACTCTTAATCTCGGAGTTCCCAGCTCAAGACTAATACTGTTCCTTAGAACACCCTCAGAAGAGCATCTAGAATCTAAATGAAGTGTGTTTTAAGCCCTGTTATTCATAGTTCTTTCAATTCATTAGTGATATTTTAAGTAAAATGAGATGCGTGCCGAGCTTTACCAACACCCCTGGGTCCTTCAAATGCAAATGTTGTCTCCAGTAAATTGGTTCATTCCGACTCCAGCACCGTGATGCTCTAACTGCACCCTTCCAAGCCTGTAGCGATCTCGTGGGCAAACACAAGCCGTCTCCCTCACAGCTTTCTAACATTCTCCATGACGGCAACTGCCACCTCAATGCTCCCTCATTAAGGGCTTCCCCGGGACCCTCTATTCTGTCTCATAGCGGGCTGCACCCGGGAGCGAGACGTGCATTCCTCCTTCCGGAAAGGACGAGGGCCGGGAGGGTCTGGCTTCACAGACGCTCGCTCTGCCCAGTCTTCCTCTTCTCTGGGTTCGAGAAACCTTTCGGCGCGCCCTGTCAGGCAAAAATAAGTGAGATCAGATCAAAAGGGCAAGCTGAGGGGCGCAAACGGAAACATAACCTCGATGAGGGCAGAGCTCTCGGGGACAAAGAGCCGGCGCGATAGGAAGTGATGCGAGGGGAGGCTGCAACGGAGGGACATTAGACTTTGGGTCCAGGAAAAGAAGGCAGCCAAGAAGAGCAAATCTGCGAACTACCGTAGCAACGAGACTTCAGACAACGCGAGAATTGTGGTTTGCGCTCGGCTTTTCTCCGCCCACCGCCCAAGCCCGCCCATTCCTGTGACGCACCCATCGACGGGCCTCCTACACCAATCAAAGTGATTAGGCGCCGGCGAGATCCCGGAAAGGGAGCGCAAGCCCCGCCCCTCGCGCGCAGGCTCTTGGGAGAGCGTCACCCAGCCTATAAAAGCGTGCGCGCACTGTTCAGAAGTCTCTTTGACTGCGACCCGGCTGTCAGTAGGTAGTAGTGTTGTGGCAATTGTTTTGTGGGCCCTATTTGTGAGCGGCCAAGATGCGGAAGACACGAGGCCATTATGGTGCTGGCCGCAGGCCGTCAACTCTGCAAAAGTGCGATGAAGGCTAGTGCGTCGGCCACCATCATGTAAAACTAATACGGTGTTAGACGGCGCCACCATGCCTAGTTCGTCACCTCTGGCTCAGATGGTGAGTGACACCTTTGGGATTTAACTGGATCTTCGGGTTGTGAAACTCCATGTATCTTTGGGACCTGCCGCCTGTGGCAGTCTCCCTTCCTAGCCATGGAAGAGCATGTTCTTGTTATTGGCAAAGCTGTCACCATTTCATTGGTACCAGATTCTGACTTGAGCAAGTAACATTCATCCTAAGACTGTTGAATAGTATGCACGACGCTAAAAAGCTGGGCTTAGTTTCCTAAACTAGTGTTGAAATGTTCCTAGGTAACAGCTGAACTCGATGCTGTTGAAGACAGGAAGACGTGTTAAGGTAAGACTTACTTTCTGGATGTCTGCCACGGCTTGGGGTAGTGAGTTGGGCTTTACTTACTGTTGGCTGCAGTTTGCACTTGTACTGACGTTATGTAACATAAGTAAACTGGCCGTCGTAAAGTCACACTCAGTAATGGGGTTTTATTTTTCCTCTCTCCTGCAGGTACTGTAATAGGCTGAGATCTTCCGATCACCTTACAGGGGATCTATGCATCTAAATTTTGACAATGAGTATTTTTGTATCAAATAAAGGATTGTTTTTTGTGTAATAATACCGTGTCTCATTCCTGGAGGTTGTGTGAATGAATGGGAGTTTCGATACAGGAGACATTTGCACAGGAAATAGCTGGGTTAATAGCTCATGTTAGTTTGTGATTGAGTGCACAAGGAACCAACAGGTGGGTCCCCTTACAGAAAAGTATTGCTGTTCTCAAAGCTGCTCTGTAAGTGTGGGGGGGTCAACATCTCCAAAAACGGAGTATGTAACACCAATTACAGGGTGCATTGTGACAACAGGTGACAAAGGATTATTTGTAACCATATAAAGTCCTACTTTGGTGTCTGGAATTTGAGGTACTTGAGACAATACTCAAGTTCAAGGTTAATAGGCCTTATCTCAGGGAACCTTGGGAACCAAGGACATAATTTCTCAGCATAGAGATTCTTAAAACTTGGGGTCCAGATTGCCACCAGACATCTCACCTAAAAGGGTTGCTGTAAGATCGTTTCACAAGTTGTCAGTTGTATGGCCACTTGGTGCTTCATTTCATGATGTATTATGCTTGTGAAAGCTGGGTTTTTTAACTATAATACTGTTTCAAGTTAGTCTTGGAATCTGAGCACTTCCTGGAAGGTGCCAGTAGGTAGTGGTCTATCATGGTTGAAAAGGCGGATTCAACGCTTGACATCTGTCTAGAGTTCTGGGAAATGAGGATTTTGATAGCTAAAATGTCCCTTGTTTAATACTGATTAAGTAAATTGCTATGTCAGGTACCTTCAGCTTGCACATTTGTCCCTTACTAGCCTTGGATTTCATGTAACTTGCTATCGAGGTTAAGAAAAGTTTCAAACTTTGAGCTTTAGAAAATGTGTCAGTATTGGTATATACAGGTAAAATCAGGTTTTAAGTAGGTTAAATCATGGGTACCTAATCAAGGTTCCTCCAAATTTTATGAATATTTGCTGGAATTTCACTTTACATAGAAATTGTAAAAAGTCAGTATTACAGTGAAGTAAATACCTGTACCCCCAAACTGCTGGGTTTCAAAATCAAAGTAGGAGCTTCAGGCTTGAGATGTCATTCCTGGCCTGGTGCCAAGTATAGAGACTGACTGCTTTATCTGTTCCTTTACTGTTGGTTGAGCTTTCCATAAATTACAGATTGGTGACACTTTTTATCCAAGGTACAAAGGCGGGCACTCTAGTATAAACTCCAGGAGTGTCTTTGATTCCACATCCATACCCCCAGGAAGTCACTCCATATACAACCCAGGTCTCATCAGGCTTTTCACACATAAGTGGTCCTCCACTGTCTCCCTGGCAGCTGTCCACGCGGTTGTCTTCTTGGAGGTTTCCAGCACACAGCATTCTCCCAGTAAATAGTCCCTTGTAACGCTCTTTACAAAACCGCTTGGGTAACAAAGGCACGGCTGCTTGTTGTAGAGTCCTTGAGTAGGCACGACCTGCTCAGCCCCAAAGAAGACCCGACATTAGTCAATGGGGATTTCAGCTAATGATCACATTTAGCAGTTTAGTAATCTTAAAAATAGTACAGCATTGGAGGCATTTCAAAATGGCTGGTAATTATAAGTAGTAGCTAAGGTGGTAGCTGTGGAGCATAAGAAAGTATTTTATGAGAATGTTTCAGAATTAGAAGTGCATACATCTCGAGGGGAAGAAAAAGTGCATACAGCTTCACATACAAACAGACTTGAGGGACACCAAGTGGTATTCATACGATCTGCTTCTTGGTAGGTCATTATTTGTGGAAAAGCTTAAATGTACACCTGGCAGTTTAATTCCATCAGCTTTTGCTAAAATTTGGAATTAGAACCTACAGTGTAGAAAACCAGCAGTCCAGGATGTGAATCTAGGCTGTGTATGCATTTCACACTTGGCAGACTTCAAGCATCTAGACTTGAGCCCACCTAAGACAATGAAGCCATCCTTTAATACAGGTCATGTGACCCCCCCAACCAGAAAATTGTTGTTGCTATTTAATAACTAATTTTGCTACTGTTATGAATAATATGTTTTCTGGTGATCTGAGGTGATCACTGATGGAGAGCCACCAGTCTAAGGTCTTACCATTGCATATCCTAACATGAACAGATCTCTCGGAAGCTGTCACGTTTTCCTAGTTTGTTTGTTTTTATAATTACCTGTGTCTCCCCATCCTGTGATGTGACAGTTGGAGGCTGTTTTCTGTGGCCTCTCTCTCCATAGAGGTAAACAGGCTGGTAAAACATGGGTGCTTAGTCTGGCACATTGCTCCCCTGGTCCTTGTAATCTAACCAGGGCAATGTCATAGTCACTGCTGTCTGGCCGATAGTTCCTGTGAATCACAATCTGTTGAACCCCTATTTCTTGCTCAAACTCCTCCGGTACCAAAGTATGATAATCCCCAACTCGAACTGCATAGCTCCTCGAGTTGTTACCGTACCTGAAGGGAGAGAAAATCGATGATCAACAGCTTGGAATGTTAAACTATAACAAATCAACCTTGTTCCAAATCCTGACCTATTGCAAACTTAGCCATCTTACCATTTCTCTTCCCTCAAACTCACTGTCCCTTCTTGGAAACCCATTGTTCTCACATCTTACTTCAGTTTCACCCTAAGTCTAAATTACTATTTTCTGAGAAGTAGTAAATGTGGAAAATGAGTGGAAATTTTAGACAAAGCATCAGGATGGCAATCCCTTACCAAACAGGAGCACACAGTGTAGCACTTGTCCTGATTTGCCATGTTCATTTTCCTTCATGGAGTCATAAATATGGCTAACCCTCCCCTGTGTCCCTGCCTGAGCTAGTGCGACCCATCGGATCCCTAGAAAAAAGCCTCAGCTATTACCCACTGTGAGTCAAATGCAAGCAAAACTATGTCAGCATATGCTGACATATGTTTCACTATATGGTTTTTACTTAGATGTCACCTCCATGAAGCTTACTCTGACCCTCCTCATGTTTATTTTGCAACCCTCCTAGTCTCAGCACACTTAATCTATGGTGCATTCACCTTTATTGCACTCTTCATCGGTCATAAGCATTATTTGGTTTACTATTTAACTGTCTTGTGCAAGTAACAAATATTCCTGAGGTGGCCTAAGTCCCGAAGTGAGACTTCTGGGCCCAGAATACACTAGCCAACCTACCTGGTTACCTCTTCCTCAGAAGATTACAGCTGCTTGTAATCGACCCTGACCTCCACTTACAGCAGGAACCAGGGCTGTACATGCCCCTGGGTATGCAATAATACAAAGCCAAGCATTTAGTGGTAGTTTTAAGTTAGTTTAAATTTGTATTAACTTTTTGGTGTGCATATACATTTGCCACTTACTAAAGATGGAAAGCAAGTTTGCATACTGTTGGGATGGAGATGGATGCTCTTCTTTTTACTTAAAGAATAAAGTCTTAGCTGATCTCAGAACATCTTCAACACCTTTCAGAGTGGACTGGCGTTTTATTTTATTTTGTGTTATTTTAAGACAGGATCTCACTCTGTAGCTGAGGCTAGCAGGCAATTCACGATGTGTGCTCAGACTTGCACCGCCCTGCCCTTCTGCCTCCACCCACACAGAGTTGACATTCCAGGCATGCGTGCACCACACACAGTCACTGTCTTTCAAAACTTTTGGTCTTTTTGCCTGCCAAACACTAGCCCTGCTTTTTATCACCCATCCACATATTTCATGCTTTGGAACAATTTTTAATGCTAATTTATTTTGATGTTAAAAACCCTCCTCTTTTCCGAGAAGAGGAGGGTGGATGGAGTGAAGGGAAGGTGGGAGGGAAAAACTGGGAGGGGTAAGCTGCCATCCAGATGTAAAGTAAATAAATGATTAATTTTTAAAAAACTTCCCTTACTCACTTTTCCTTAAAAAACATGAAAGTCCCACTGTTCCCAAGACATCCACTTGAATGTGAGTTTAAAGCGTTTATATTTAATAATTTGCTAGTAGAAATCTCCTAGAGGCCAGAACTAACTACTGACTGCCTTATTAAAATGTACCATCATCCCCTCATCCCTCCTAACTCCTTATTACTCCTGTGTTAGGAGAGGTTTGAACCTTCTAATAGCGCTGACCTTTTTGTATAATTATACAGCCATCAACTACTGGCTGATAAATCCCTGAGGTTCCTGACTCCTCCCCATTTTCAAGTTAAATCATCTTTAAAGTTCAGGGAAGGTTTTTTTTTCCCCCTCTTATGCCAAGAGAGTATGCTTCTCAGATTTATTTCAAAACATAAAATTTATATTTTACAATAAATGTTATCTTTAAATTTTCTAAACTATTAAAAAATACAAAAAACAAAAACTACACACCAGGGCCAGTGTTGGTGGCACATAGGCAGAGTTTGAGGCCAGCCTGATCTACGTAGCTAGTTCCAAGAGAGCCAGGACTACATAGCTATCTCAAAAAAAAAAAAAAAAAAAAAAAAAAAAGAAGAAGAAAATCACACATCAAAATTAACCAGACTCAATGTTAATTATACATCTCAATAATTTGAATAACAATTCAAAAGCTGTGGACCTTCGTACTGGACTTACACTTTCAGTATCAAATGTATCTCTATATATTTATCATCAAAATAAAAACCCCAACAATTAGAATAAAAGAACAGCAGCTTTATATCCCATTTCATAACCTAGGCCGTCATGTCCCTGCAGCCCTCCCTCGTCCCCTAATGTCTAGCCTTTCCTCTCCTCCTTTATGCATATTATACTCACCCACATGTCTGTTTACATGCAGGGTTTTATTTTTTTCCTGAAATATGTGACCTTGCTTAATATTAAGTATTCTAAGACTGTTTTCCTGCACATTTTAATTTCATTTTCTATAGAGCTGAATAGTGTGTGTGTGTGTGTGTGTGTGTGTGTGTGTGTAGTGTGTCTGTATGAGTATGTGTGTGGTGTGTGTGTGTATGTGTGGTGTGTGTGGTGTGTGTGTGTATGTGTGGTGTGGATGGTGTGTGTATGTATGTGTGTGGTGTGTGCGTGTGTGTGTGTGCATGTGTATGAACATATATATATCAAGCTTTCATCATTCATCT